ATGTTCTCGCCTGGGCACGCGACCGCGTGCAGGAAGTCATTCAAGGCAGGCGCGAGCGAGCTGGCATCGCTCATCCACCTCGTGGTGGCGTTCGCCGAGGAGAAAGCCGTCGGCGTCGAGTCTCTGGAGCGCGAACTGGCGTCCCTCCGCGCGCGCGGCCTGCTGGCGCGCGCGTTCATGGACGTAAAGCGTGGGACAGTCGCCCCTCGCGGCGACTTCGTTGCATCGGCTGAAGTCCATCTGGACTTGCACAAGCAGGCTTACGGCGCCCGCTACGTGAAGCCCAAGCACCGTTACGTGCTCCACAGCGCGGACCAGGAGCCCAAGGAGCTCGACTGCTTCGTGACGGAGCGCCACAACAAGATGGTAAAAGCAGTCGCCGAACCAGTGCTTTGCACCTCGCGCTTTGAGTGCACGGTGCTCGCGAGCGCAGTGTTGCGCCAAGAGAGGCAACTCGAACCAATGGGGCCGACTGGCAACGCGCTGACGGGGACTGCAGCCGACTCCGACGAGTTGCGCTCCTTTGTCGGGGACGTCGACGTCTCCGTGTCGGTTTCGCTGCGCTGGGGCGGGCAAACGTACAGCGTGGGCGATGTGGTTCGCTCGCGCGGTGGCGAGATGTTCGTCCTCGACGCGTGCGCTGCCATCTCTGGCGAACTGCACGTCGTCGCGCGCGGGATCGAAATTTCAGCGCGCTCGCAGGGCAGGAGTACTGGGCGCGTGATCGACGAGTTCCTCATCATCAAGATGGCCGATGCCTGCCTGGAGCCCACGGCGTGGGCGTGGCGCGTGACGCGCAGAGGCGACTACGTAGTCTTGCACTCGTAGCGCCGCGCCGCGAGGAAAAGGAGAAAAGCGCCGCGCCGCGGGCGGGGGGGGGGGGGGGGACGCAGGGAGCGATGGGGATCGCGGGGGTGTGGGGGGGGGAGGCAGGGAGCGATGGGGATCGCTCGGCTGAAGCGATGGCGCTCGCTTGGGAAGGCAGGGGGCGATTGCGATCGCTTGGGAAGGCAGGGGGCGGTGGGCAAGCGATTGCGATCGCTCGCGACGGCGGCGCCCGCTCCGCTGCACCCCCGCCCCTCCCCGAGCCGCGCGGCAGCGGGCGCGCGCAGCCATGGGGCCGCGTCAGCCGCGTGGGCCGCCGCCGAGCCACCTGGTCACGAAGGCGGCGGCGCCGCGCTTCGAGGCGCCGCCCGTGGTGCCGTCGAGGCTCGACCGCATGGAGTTGGCGGCGTGCCCATCGAGGATGACGGCGCCGCCGCCCGTGCCGAAGCCGCCCGTGGCGCCGCCGCCGCGCGTGGCGAGGCCGCCCGTGGCGCCGCCGCCAGTGGCGAAGCCGCCCGTGGCGTCGTCGGGTGCCGTGGCGCCCGCGCCGCTGCGGCCGCAACGCGCTCGCCGCGACGACGAGTTCGCGGCGCCCTCGCTCGATGAGAACGCCGCGGCGTCTCGTCGGTGGCTCCTCCAGCGAGCTCGCGAGCTCTCGGCGGCCCCAGCCGCCGCCGCCGCCGTCGCTGAGGAGGGCGCCGCCGCCGTCACTGAGGAGGGCGCCGCCGCCGTCACTGAGGAGGGCGGCGGCGCCGAGGAGGGCGCCGCCGCCGTCACTGGGGAGGGCGCCGCCGTCACTGAGGAGGGCGGCGACGCCGAGGAGGGCGCCGCCGCCGTCACTGAGGAGGCGCCGCGACGCCGCCGCCTCCCGCGTCGGAGGTGCGGCTTCGGAAGCGGCCGCGGGCCGATATCGAGGCCGAGGCGGCGGCGATCAGGCTGCCGCCTGTTGTGCCTGAGGCGCTGCGCCGTGGCGGGGAGGGCACCGAGTGGGAGATGGCGCCGTGGTGGCCCGACATCGAGGTCCACCACAGGCGATGCATGCAGTCCCTGGTCCTGGCGTTCCAGTATTGGGTCGAGGCATCGGCCCAGTACCATGCCTTTGCGGCAGAAATGCGGAGGCTGGGCCTGGACGGCTATCCTGGCAGCAGCGAAGGCTTCCTACGACCAGGCGTGGGAAGATTGGACGGAGCAGGTGCAGTTCGAGGTCGCAGACGACGGCGGGGTCGACTGGTCGTGGCGGCCAGGCAGCCGCTACGACGTGGCGTCGCGGCAGCACGCGGCGGCGGCAGGAGCGGCAGAGGCAGCCGCCTCTGCGGCGGCGGGAGCGGCAGCACGCCCGCAGTGAGCGCTGGCATGGAGTGCCGCGCGCGGGCGCGGCGCGCGAAGGGGCGCGGCGGACGCGTCACCGCGCGCGCGCAGAGGTAAAAACAAAGCGATGGGGATCGCTGGGCGGAGGTGAAGCGATGGCAATCGCTTGGGAAGGCGGGGGGCGATGGGGATCGCGGAGGTGCAGCGATGGCGATCGCTCGGGAGGGGGAGGAGGGGGAGGACGAGCAAGCTGCTTTAACTGTTTTAACGCCGTTTTTGGCGCCAACTGCTTTAACAGATTTAACGTCGTTTTGGGCGGACGGGGGACAGTAGGAAGTGGAGGGGGAGAGCGATAGCGATCGCTGGGAGGGGACAGTAGGAAGTGGAGGAGGAGAGCGATAGCGATCGCTGGGAGGACGAGGAGGATAGCGATAGCAATAGCGATCGCTGATCGCCGCGCGCTGCTCCAGCTCGCGGGGGCGCCGCCGCGCCGCCGCGCCGCGCGCCGCCGCGCGCCGCCGCGATGGAGGAGGCGCGGGGGGCTCGCGCGCGGGCGCTGGACCGCCAGGTCGGCACCTTGCTGGCGCGGCTCGCGGAGGCGGAGACCTCTTCCTCCCAGCGATCGTTATAACTCGCTCTCCCCCGCCTCCTCCTCCGCGTCCTTCCCTTCCCCCCCCCCCTCGCCTTCCCCCCTTCCTCCCCTTCCTCCTCCTCCCCCCCTCCTCCCCCTCCCCTTTCCTCCTCCCCTTCCCCCTCCTCCTCCTCCCCCCCCTTTCCCCCCTCTTTCTCCTCTTCCTCTCCTTCCTCCCCTTCCTCCTCCTCCTCCTCCCCTCCTCCCCCCCCCCCCTCCCCCCCTCGTCCTCCTCCTCCCAGCGATCGTCATCGCTCTCCCCCGCCTCAGGCCGTCAACGCTCAGCAGACGGAGCGGGCCCGCCAGCTCTCGCAATGGCTGGGCGAGGCGGGATGCGACGACGACGACGACGTCGACGACGACGGCGACGACGAACGAGGCGGTGGTGGAGCTGAAGAAGGCGATCGAGGAGAGGGGCGCGGCGCTGAAGCGGGATGCGGCGCTGAGGGGCGAGAGGGGCAAGCTGCTGAAGGAGAATGAGGAGAAGGCGAAGGCGAAGGCGGAGAAAAAAAGAAGAAGGAGAAGAAGGAGAAGAAGGAGAGGGGGGCGGCGGCGAAGGAGGCGGAGGCGAAGGCCAAGGCGAAGCCGAAGGGCAAGGGCCGCGCGAAGGCAAAGGGCAAGACGTGAGCGCCGCGCCTCCTCCCTCCTCCCCCTCCTCCCTTCCCCCTCAAGCAACAGTTGGGAATACTTATAAGTAACTTATATGTACCCCTTAAGTAACTTACAGCGTGTACGCTATGGTAACTTATAAGTAACTTATATCTAACTCAGGTAAGTAGCATCAGTACAACTAAGATACTTAGCCTACATATAGCTAGGGCGCAAGTACGCTTAAGATCTTGAAGCCTTCAAGTGAGCCAGTACCTTGCTGGGGCGCCGGCGGCCGCGCCGTTTCGCCCTTTGCCCGCGAGTCAAAAATAAAACAAGCAGGCCATTCTTTTTGAGAGTAGGAGGCAGCTCGCACGACGAAGCAACAACACACACCCATACCTAGAGGGGGGTCGGAGAGGGCTATGGGTGCGCGTTGTCGGATGGGGGGTCCCCGCTCGAACGGGAGCGTTCCCCAGGATCCGACAACCCGCAGCCAGTCCTCCTCCCAACGACCCCCCTATGGGTATGGGTGTGTGTGTGTGTGTGTGTGTGTTGTTCGTTCGTCATCGTAAACATCGACGCGCTCGAGAATAAGTTTGCACTCGCGGTGCGTCGCAAGCCGAGCGTGTGGTTTGCAGCGGCTCTCGAGGGGTCCTCCTGCTCCTCGCTCCCCCTCGCTTCTCGCTCCTCGCTCCTCGCTCCTCGCTCCTCGCTCCTCCCCCTCCTCCTCCTCCTCCTCTCCCTCCTCCTCTTCCTCCTCCCCTCCTCCTCCTCCTCCTCCTCCTCCTCCTCCTCCGCCCCCTCCTCCTCCTCCCATTCCTCCTCCTCCTCCTCCTCCTCCCCCCTCCTCCTCCTTCTCCTCCTCCTCCTCCACCTCCTCCTCCCCCTCCTTCTCGCTCCTCGCTCCTCGCTCCTCGCCCCTCCTCATCCTGCTCCTCCTCCTCCTTCGGGCGGGAATCGGAGCAAGAGTGAGATGAGGGTTTTGGGGCGGGGAGAAGGCGCACGAGGATGGCGAGGGCACGGAAACGCCCTGGTGAGGAGAAGGAGAAGGCGAAAAGGCATATCCATGTGACGAAAGGGAGGAACCTGATGATGAGAGAGGCATGTTTTCATGGAAGAAGAGGGGGTGAAGGGATCGCAGCCCTGGAGGAGGGGAAGCTGAGACAGAAGGTGGAGGGAGAGGCGCAGGTGGCATGTTCCCGTGGAGGAAGAGGGGGAGGACAGTGACCGCAACCCTGCAGGATGGGAATGTCTGAGACACGTGAGGCGGAGGGAAGGCCGCGGCAGCAGCAGCCAGACGGACGAAAGGCGGAAAGGGGGGGGAGGAATATCATGGACCAAGAGCCCGGGGACGATGACATTGGAGTGAAAGGGGTCGAGGAGTTGGGGACAGGTGAGGTGGAGAAGGTGTAGGGATGCTCACGTAGGAGGGATATTGGAATACAATGGGGGAGGAGAACGTGCCTGGCGAAAAATAATAAGTAATGGAACGTGAGCTTGGCGGGGTAGGAGGAAGAGGAGGAGGAAGAGCAGGCGGAAAAGGAGAACAGCAAGGAGGAGGATCGAGGCCAGGGATCAAACCTTGGAGGACGTAGACGGAGCACGGAACACACAGGAAGACGAACGAGAGCAGCGCATTCCCCAGGCCGCGTGCCAACGAGAACGAGGTCAGGGACTACGGCCACAGCCCGACCCTGGACCCTCCTCATCCTTCTTCTCCCGATCGTATCTCTTACCTTTTTTCCTCGTTTCTCGTTCTCTTTGTCCTCTTTCGACCTCATACAGTCAGCCCGCATATTGGGAAGCCTTCTCGGTCCACCCTCGGTCCATCCTTGGCCACTTTCGTTGGCCGCGCTCCGCTCGAGAAGCTTCGAAATGGGCCTCCACGGCCCCTGCATTCTCATCGTGCGTCCTTATGATGCGGGCCGGCTGTAATCCTCCTCATCCCCTTGTGCACTGATCACCCTTCCTCCTGCATAATCTTTCTCCTTTTCTCTCCCTCCCCCCTGTCCTCCTCCACCTCCTCCTGTAGAACCCGTACTTGTCCGACCCGCCGCGGGGCCGCAAGAAGGCCGAGTGGTGGCTCCTGGGAACAGACAGGCCGCCGTCGCCCTCGCCGCCGTCGCCACGTGGTCGCCGCCGCCGTCGCCGTCGCCGAGGGGGACGTCAGCGCAGACTTCTGTCGTCACACACGGACTCATGACGGCCAGCCTCGCCCGAGGTTGGCCTGCATGTTTCCGCTGATCGACCACCTGAAACAGCAGGCATCTGCATCCTGTCGCGCGGCCATTATTCTTCTTCTTATTATGATTATTATTAGTATTATGATTCCTATTATTATTAGTATTATTATTAGTATTATTATGATTATTATCGTTCTGATTCTTATTTGTGTGGGGGTGTGCTCGGGGGCAGACCTGCCCCGCGCCTCTGGACGGTCAGCGCTGAGATGCGCTCGATTTCATGGGGCACCAGAAAGGGCTTGGCATCGCTCGGGCGTGTGCATTTTTCCTTCGGCGAGGGCCATCGAGGAGCATCCTTGATCATTTGGCTAAGAAACCACGCACGAAACCGAACAGAAACACAGGGAATGGACGTCCGAGCGATGGATGTCATGGGGCACCAGACAGGGCGCCAAGCCGCTTTCGACCCAAGCCCACGCCGCACGTGCCAACACCACCGCAACCACTACTGCACTACGGCGCCCGTTTCATTCGATGACCCTACCGTGTCGACCACCGACGCCATTACGAGTACCTCCCCCGCCCCCCGATGCCGCTCTCCGTCACCGCCGGAGCACCATGACTACCTCGATGCCTGGCAACACCACTGGTGTTACCAGGATAATCGCCACCAGCAGATTCACGATTATTTTTCGACGACTGCGTTGATCCTCAAGATGTTTTTGTATACCACACCCTGTCCGTTTCAGTCAGATTCCACCGCCCAGGGCAACTTTCTGTATACAAAAACGAAACCCCAGGAAGGGATTCCTTGTATACCAGACCAACGACCAGGACCCTCGCTCGCCCCCTGGGCTCGAGCTTTTGGGTATTATATACATTTTGTCCTGGCGGAATGGCGACGACTGCGACCCGTGACACTAACTGCGGCCACCGGCAACCGCGGACAGGCATGTCGAGGCCCCTGACCAACAGCCCTTGCCAACCCAGCCCCGCCTTCCCCCGCCCCCCCCTTTGGATCCTGCCGCGCACTTCTGCTTCTGATGTTCGCCGCCTCGCCCATCCCCGGCCCTCCCCTCGCCTTCCCCCATCTTCATCATGCGGTGGCTTTGCCAGCCCCATCGTGACTGTCCCGCCTCTCGGCTGCTGCAGGGTATCCAGTGACGGTCCCTGTTGCCGTGGTCGCGTGCGTTGGACCCGCTCGCCAGAGCCACGCCCGCCGATTGAACCGAGCGCCCCGGAGAATAAAGCATCCCCCCCTTCACCCCTGCCCCGAGACCAAAAAATACACCGTGTTTTTCGATCAGTGAGCAGAACCGCGCGGAGGTGCCTTTATGTTTTGTGTGTCGCGTCCGACTGCCCCACCTCGACAGGCAGTATTCGACGACCCGTCATTTCAAGAATTGCTTCGGAGGCAACATCAGCCTGACGAGCAAGAAGGTCGGGGCCAAAGGGGTCTGGGAGTGCTTGATCGCGTGGGACCATGTCTCCTCAAAGGACCTGCGATGTTAATTCTGCCTTTTCTTTCCTTGGTGAGAAGAGCCCAAGCGACTGCAGTGTCAAACACGGCAGCGCGCTTCGTGGCTTCTTCCCTTGCAGGATTAGCCAAAGAAGGCGCCGAGCCTGCTGTAGCACAGGCAGGAACACTTATCGTGAAAGAGAGCATCGAGATGCATTTCGAGTGTTGTGTGGTGGAAAAAGTAGCGCAATAGCCAGTATCATCGTCGTCGGCCTCATACTTATTCATATCCGGCGCGTCTTGGACACACCCGTATCTTTCCCCATTGCCATCGCATCACCGTGAATTTTGGGACGACGAGGTCTCCGGATTGTGAACCATGCCTGGTCCCAACGGGCTGCGCAGGCGTCGTCGCCACCTTCGTCCTCGATGTCTTCCTTCCTCCCTCCTCTTCCTCCTGTAGCCGATTATGGTTCAATCCGTTCTGGGGGGGCTTTCACCTGGGGGGCCCAGAAATTATCAAAAACGCTGCAACACCGAAGTCGCGACGCGGGTGGGAAGAAAACCAGAACCCCACGAAACATGTGGGGACAAATCAACCAAGACATGCGACGTCCAGATTTGTTCAGGACGGCGTCCCTGGAAGTCCCGACCCTTTCCCTGGGACCGGCTTTTCATCCTGAGTCGTTGTTTAACGGCCCCGAGGCACGGCGAGGGCTCCCCGGGGCCGAAAATAGCCAAAAGCCTCCCGTCCTGATTTTTTTACGACGCGATCATGTCTGGGAAGACATCGCTCTCAGAGGTCTCGACCTGTCCCGCTGGGACCGGTTCTTCCTCCCGCGCGTCTGTTTTTGAGGCCCCCCCCAGGGCCGGCCGAGGGCCCCCAGGGCCGGGCACGACGAGCAACCGCTCGCTACGACGCTTCTCGCGGCGCGACCGGCCCCGCCTGGGGTTCAGTCGGGCACGTCCCTCTACAGGGGGAATAGTCCAGAACAGTACAACAAGTCCGGGGACGATGCTTTCCCTTTGTTTCTCATTTGTGGATTTTTCCCCACATCCAAAGTGGGGTTCTTGTTTTCTCTGCACACGCCGCGCAGGATCTCACACACCCCCTTTCCTCTCTTTCTCTCACTCACCATCATCGCCATCATCATCACCATCAACCACCATCATCGTCATCACACGCACACACTCATCATCATTACCATCATCATCACCATCATCATCACCATCAACCACCATCACCGTCATCACTAGTCATCATCATCATCCTCAACATCATCGTCACCATCATCACCACTCGATCACCCACTCACTCACTCAATTACTCACCCATCCTCAGTAGGCTTCGGAGGCAGTGGTCCTCCGACGGTAGGACCGCAGCCACTCTCAACATCATCGTCACAATCTCCATCATAATCTCTCGATCATCCACTCAGTGGCCATCATCATCATCATCATCCTCATCATCATCTTCCTTATCATCATCATCATCATCATCATCATCATCATCATCATCATCACTCATTCATCACACACTCATCATCATCATTCGCTCAGTCATCATGTCGTCATCAGGCGGGAGCCTCTGAGTGAATTGCGAGGAAGTCTCAGGCGGGAGCCCCCTCCCTATGGGGCCCGCAGATCATGTAACTAATCCGAGCGGGTCATCGGAACCCTGTAACCGTCGTCACTTTCGGGCTCTTGAGTCGTGAATATGAAGGAAGTCTCGAGCGGGAGCCTCGTTTGTGAGTGAATTACGAGGAAGTCTCAGGCGGGAGCCCCCTCCCTATGGGGCCCACAGGTCATGTAACTAATCCGAGCGGGTGATCGGAACCTTGTAACAGTCGTCACTTCTGGGCCTCTGAGGCTTGAATATGAAGGAAGTCTCGAGCGGGAGCCTCGTCTGTGAGTGAATTGCGAGGAAGTCTCAGGCGGGAGCCCCCTCCCTATGGGGCCCGCAGATCATGTAATTAATCCGAGCGGGTGATCGGAACCTTATAATTGTCTTCACTTTTGGGCCTCTGAGGCTTGAATATGCAGGAAGTATCAGGCGGGAGCCTCGTCTGTGAGAGGAAGTCTCGGGCGGGAGCCCCCTCCCTAAGGGGCCCGCAGATCATGTAACTAATCCGAGCGGGTCATCGGAACCTTGTAACCGTCGTCACTCTTGGGTTCTCGAGGCTTGAATATGGAGGAAGTATCATGCGGGAGCTTCGTTTCTGAGTGAATTGCAAGGATGTCTCAGGCTGGAGCGCCCTCCTTATGGGGTCCGCAGATCATGTAATTAATCCGAGCGGGTCATCGGAACCCTGTAACCGTCGTCACTTTTGGGCTCTTGAGGCTTGAATATGAAGGACGTCTCGAGCGGGAGCCTCGTCTGTGAGTGAATTGCGAGGAAGTCTCAGGCGGGAGCCCCCTCCCTATGGGGCACGCACTTCATGTTCGAACCCGAGCGGGTCATCCCAGCGAGCTTTTTGGGCTCCTCGGCTCCTGCGGCCTGAACACGGGGGAAGTATCAAGGGGGAACTTTGTCTGTGGGCGGTGCGGGTAGCCCCGTCAGAGGACCGTCTCCTGTCGTCACTTGGAGGTTTCAGGACGGATTTTAGAACTCGCTCCTGCGGCCTGAATACCGGGGAGTTGCCAAGCGGGAGTCTCGTCTGTCTGAAATGGTCGCGGGCAAAATTGTTGTTGTCATGGGCCTGCGTGCCCGAAAGGGCGATTGAGAAGTCCGGGTAGCATCGTCCGAGCTGGTCGTCGGCAAATTTGTTGTAGTCATGCGACAGCGTGGAGGTCCGAGAGGCTCCGCCGCCCCACGGCCGCGGCGTCCGAGAGGGCGACTGAGGAGCTGACGATGACGACGACGAGACAGCGGCCGGGCGCAGGGGTAGCCCCTTGCGCCCGGGCCGGGGGTGGTAACCCATCCTCGGCCGATCCTCTCCCAGCCCACCCTTGCGTCCGGGCCGCGGCCTCCGGCGGGGGCCACCCTGACGCATGCGTCCTACCTGACCTCCACGCTGTCGCAGGGCCAGACGTTGCGCAAGGGCGTCGCCATCGACTGCGCCAGGGATGAGGACGCTGGCCGCACGGGCATGTCGGACGAGATGTGGTGGCTGCACCTCTACGTCATGTTCTCCCGCGCCACGCGCATGCGGAACATGCTGATCCTGCGGCCGCCCGCGCGAGAGTTCCTGGAGCGCGGGCCGCCGGCGTCACTGCGGAAGGCGCTCCAGGAGTTCGACAAGAGAGCGGTGGATTCCAGGGCTGAGGCGGAGCAGCTCGCGGCAGAGCTGGGCTTCGTGCTGCCGCCCGCCCGAGCGCCGCGGCGCGCACCTAGATGCCCGCGGGGTTGTCCCAGCGGCTGGTTTCCGCGCCCCTGCGGCCTGCGAGGTTGCCCCAACGGCCTGGCCCGAAGGGTTGCCCCGACGGCTTCGCGATCTAGCCATCGGCAAACGCGCGCGTGTTGGCCGACGCGGCGACGGCGCCGAGGAACATCGAGTTGCTTGCCACGACCAGGGGGAACGGGAGGTGCACATGGAAAAGAAGCAGGAGGATGAGGAGGGAAAGGGGCACGGGGGAGGGCGACGACGAGGAGGAGGTGGCGCGAGACTCGAGGAGGAGGAGGAGGAGGAGGAGGAGGAGGAAAAGTAGGAAGAGGAATAGAATGAGGAAGAGAGGGCAGTGCAGAGGGCGAGAGGAGAGGGTGTCCGCCAGGGGGAGGAGGAAAGGGCAAAAGGTAAGCTCAACAGATTCTCGTGCGGGGTCCTACCGTCGGAGTAAGTTTTGTTGTTCCGTTTGCCTTCCGCGGGTTGACCCAAAATGGGGTCCAGCGACAGGGGGGGGTGCAATATATTTGGTGCAATAGGTTTGTGGGGTTGTAATACATTTGGGGCGCGCAATGCATGTCGGGGCGCAAATGTATTGCTGTAGTGTCGCGCGCAATACATTACTTGCAACACAACGCAGTACAATTCTCCAGCGCCGTAGATTTGCAATCCAGTTGCCCCAAGTGTGTTGCACCACCCCCTGTCGGCTGGACTCCTTTTCTGGGTCACCCAAACACTTCCACCTTCCGCCCGTAGGAGGACACTCAGAGCGTGAATTACCTACCCCGCTTTCGCTTCCAGGCAAAACCAAGTCATACCACGCGCCTCCTCGTCAAGCGGCCTGACCAGTACAGGCCGTAGTTTGGCATCGTTTGGTGTCCTTTGGAAGCGAGGGTGGTCAAAAGCGAGGTACGTTTGTGTGCCCCCTAAACACGCCCGACCCAAACCCGGGAGGCCTCCACCCGATCCCCCCTCCCCTGGCTCAGGGCAGCGCCGCGACGGGCGCGCCCCCGCGGCCTGTGCGCGCCGAGGGGCCCTTGCGGTGCGGCACCCATGGCGAGCGCGATCGCGGGCGCCCCCTGCCAGGTCTACCATTCGGAGGACAACATCTCGGACCTTCGAGGGAGGCAACCCCAGACCTGATCGCGTCCTGCGGACAAAATCCGGACGGGAGGTTTTTGGCCGTTTTCGGGCCCTGGGGGCCCTCGCCAGGCCCCGGGACCGTCAGAAAACGGCTCAGGATGAACAACCGGTCCGGGGAAAGGGTCGGGATCTCCAGGGGCCCCGCGTTGGCAAGATCAGGACGTCGCACAACGGGGACATTCAGAGGGGGAAAAGGTACCGATACCGCTACCCTTCCCCTGTTTTCCTCTATTGCGGCTTCCTGGGAGGCCCTCGTCGCCACCGCTGGGTTTGCCTCGAAATCTTGGTCAGAGCGCGCCCTGGAAGATGTCCGGGGACCAGCGGTATTGGTACCAGTCGGTTTCCCCAAGCACTGTGACTTGGAGCCAGCTGGGGATCTGAGGTGTCCCGGATTTGATTCCGCCTGCTAGAAGGAGGAGGAGGAGGCGGAGGAGGAGGCGGAGGAGGAAGAGGAGGAGGAGGAGGAGGAGGAGGCGGAGGAGGAAGAGGAGGAGGAGGAGGAGGAGGAGGAGGAGGAGGAGGAGGAGGACGGGGAAGATGCTCGTGGTTCTGGGTTCGAGAGAGAAGTTTCTTGCCTCTTTCGGCGT